CTTATGTAAAAACTTCTTCTGTAACGAAAAAGGAAAATTTGCTAGATCTACTTACTGGAACTGATTAGATGATTAATATCCTATCACACTAGGACCACGATCCCGCCACGACCTCAGAAATTATGAAAAATTTTGGAAGTCGTAGCAAGATCATGTTGGTCGTGGTAAGGACGTGTCAAGGTCTTCATGATCGTGGAGGTCCACGACCAACTTTGAACATGCTCAAAACATTCGTAGTGCAGTCGTGGCCAAAACTAGTCGTAGTAGAAGCATAGGAAGGTCATAGTAAGATAGGGATGGGCGTAGAATCATCGTATTGGAAATCGTAGTGCAATGATTCGGGAAGCCAATGGAAAGGATTTCGCTGCGACCTTACTACGATTTCACTACCACTATCCCGATTTCAAGTTACGTCTTTATTACGCTTCTACTACGATATTGATACGATTAGACTACGATGAGGAAGTCGCTGCCACAACGCACTTGCCGTCCTTAATACGATCTTACTACGTCCCAAACACGATAATTGCACGACCTCTGTTGATATAAAAAACAGATGCAATAACTTCTACCTATAATTCAACCATGGACACACATGAACAAAACTTACTTCTGCAATCTTTAATTCAGCTGCACTGTATCGATTTGGCTGATCGGGCTACACATTTTTTGTTATAAGATGAAGGAGAAGAAGAAATACTAGACAGCATAAGGTCCTTTTGGGTGCGCCCTTGGCTTTCTGTTGAAAGAAGACTCCAGTTTGGGCATTGCGATCGACTTATGAAAGAATTAAGGATGGCGGATCAGCAGTCGTTCTTTGATTTTTTAAGGATGCCTCCAGAAATGTTTGATGATCTTTTGAACAGAGAAAGAAGATAGAAACCCGATTCAGAAAGGCACTAGATCCCGGTCTGAAAGTTGCTATTACCTTAAGGCACTTAGCTTCTGGCGATAGGTATCCAACCCTTCAGTACGATTTCAGAGTCGCGCTCAATACTATAAGTATTTTTATTCCTGAGGTTTGCCAGTCAGTTGTACAGGAATATACTTTTATTCTTGAGGTTTGTCAGTCAGTTGTACAGGAATATCCTGTCCAACAGAACCAATTGAATGGCGAGCTATTGGCAAAGAGTTTCAGAGAAGATGGAACGTGCCACACTCTTGTGGCGCACTCGATGGAAAGCATGTTGCTATTAGAAGCCGGGCTTAAAAGCGGATTATTGTTTCATAACTATGAAGTTTTCTTTACATTAGTGCTCCTTGCCTTGGAGGATGGAGACTACACATTTTCATGGTTAGATGTAGGAGGATATGGTTCCATGTCGGACGCCCAGATTTACAACGCGTCAGAATTAAAGGAGTGTTTAGAAGATAAGACTATTGGATTTCCAGAGTCAGATCCCTTACCTAATGACGACCTAAACATGCCATACTTTATCTTGGATGACGACGTATTTCGGTTGAGAACTTATTTGATGAAGCCATATTCTAGGGCGCAATGAAAACGTAATGGAAACTTAGTATAGTCGTTGTTTGATCGCAGTAGACTCGTATTGAGATCGCAATGCGATCGGGAAGGTCGTGGTACGGTCTTATCAGACATAGCAAGAGCGTGACAAGATCGTAACTACAACATATTACTATCGTAGCAGGATCTTATCGGGATAATAGCAAGGTCGTGGTATGGACTTGAAAACTATGAAATACTGTATATTCAGGCCGACCATACCACGATCTCACCGCGATCTTAATTTTTGATAGATCGTAGTGGGATCTTCGTGGTCTTGGTTTAGAGTGAAGGGGGCTTAAAGCTGTAAATTTTCTCCTTGACAACATCTATGTACGTTTCGGCAATTAAGTTTATTGACAGGTTGTAGGCATTCCTATGGAGACCGATTAAGCCCTTTAAATAGCAGACTTGTTCCTATACTGTAATGAATCACAGTTTATGGCCAAACTCAGTAAAGATCCGTCTTAATTTCATTAAATGGAAAAATAAAAACTAAATAAGTAAAAAAAAAAAACACTTACTGTTACATTAATGATATTTTTGCTTTCAAGAATTTTTTTTTACTGTGGAAACTGTCGAATACAGACAGCAATAATTGTCCTTTTCTAGATTTGGATATTTCAGTTTCATTTTTTGGACGGTGATGTTCCGTTTGTCCCTTCTTACAGTGTGTATATTTCGCTATGCCCGGGTCTGTAGTCGCGTTTCAGATTTCAGTGAACGTAATTTATGCATAACTGGTAAATTATTAAGTCAATAAAACCTTTATTAAATTCTTTCATAGAAACAAAGATTTGGTTAGGATGTTTAGCTGTACTTTTTAACAAAATTATTGTAAATTTATATACGTCTCATGTTAACTAATTGATCCTTTGAATTACTATTTCTTAAAGGTTATTAATTTTACACAGAAGTAAAATCTTTGAAAATTGTTTTTATCGGTACTAATGTTGATTTTGTTTTTGAAAAATTAAAATATAACTAAATATATATTGCTTTTTATTTATAGTTGTGTTACTCATGATCCTGCATCCCGTCGATACAGTTTACTTATATTTTGGCATTGCATAAAGTCATGCGTTTCTCAAACTATTTATGACGTCTTTACACTAAATCAGTTGGATGTATACTGATTGAAACTTTAGTTTGGGAGAATATGAATTATTTATTATTTGTAATTGACTTTGAACTAGCTTTCAGTAACTGAGAGTACTCCTATTTCGGTGCACTGTCTCTATTGTTTTTATGTTAGTTGTTTGTGTGCCTCGTACCGATCTGATAAGTTAAGCCAATTGCAACTGATTAAAAACGTTTTTGTTATGTTGTGCTGTTACGTCACTGTCCCAGGTTTAGAGGAGTTGGGTTTGAGCGCTCACAAACATGTTTAACCCCGCTACATTCTTTATGTACCTCACATAAGTCCGGAAGCCTGTTGATGTCTTTCTTCGAAAAAAAAATTGTTATAAATTAGGCCGTTGGTTTTCATGTTTGAATTGTTACACATTTTCCATGTTGGAGCCTTTTACAGCCGACTACTAGTATACGGTATGGGTTTTTCTCATTGTTGTAGGCCGAGCGGTGGCCTATAATTGCTTACATCCACTTCAGACCTTATAAAACGCCACGAGTGTCTGATCAGAAAATTGATGAACCAGGGATTTGTCAACTGAGAACGTCTCGTCTCTTTTCTATAAAAGTTCATCAGAAGATACCAAGACCTTGTTGATAAATATTCCGTATCAACTTCACAAATCATACATGATGGTCTTGAAGTATAGATTCTAGGTACTGACGTTGTTTATCATCTTCATTACATTTTATAGTGTTCTTTTTTATCTGTCTTTGTATATCTTTAACCTTTACTGTTTAGTCCATTTTTGGTATTATCCTTCTAGCTCGGTACTTGTACATCACGCCATTGTGTTATTGTGCTGTGGTTATTTTTTGTATTCTTGTCTTTCATTTTTGCTTATGTGCTTGTCTATAGAGTGCCTATATGCCATTTAATTTTTCTTTGTTGACATTGTTGTTAGTTTTTATAGTGATTAAGATTATAACACAATGTTGACTGCTGTACCCCAATTTTTGACATTTTTACCTATTATGTCTGTTTGTTTTGCTCACATATTGTTGTCAATATAATGAAATTCTATGCGCCTGTCATACAAGTGAGAGGTTTAGCTAGCTATAAAACCAGGTTAAATCCTACATTTTCTACAAAAGGAAATGCCTGTACCAAGTCAGGAATAGGACAGTTTTTTTTCCATTCGTTTGATCTGTTTGAGCTTTTGATTTTGCCATTTGACAAGGGACTTTCCGTTTTAGATTTACTTTGGAGTTCGGTATTTTATTTATTTACTTTTCATTTGAACTCTTGTGGATAGTTGTCAAATTCGCAATCATACCACATCTCCTAAGTTTAATATATAATTATATATACATATATTTTAATCTATAACATGAAATCAAACATACCTAGAAAAATCGTCATTATTCCATAGCATGTGCGTGTCTATTTATTTATATATATTTTTATACGCCCGTTTACGGGACGTATTATGGTATACCGTTGTCCGTCCGTCTGTCCGTCCCTCGTCAACATGTCGGACAATAACTCAAAAACGTTGGAACAAATTTGCATGAAACTTTGGTGAATTGTTAATATCTATTGACGTGAGCTCCTTTTCGATTTTTATAAATTTTCGATTTTACGTATCCGACTTATGGGCTTTTATTCATTAGGGATTTTCCAGTTTTCGGACAATAACTCAAAAACATTTTAACCAATTTACATGAAACTTTTGAGAATTGTTTATATCTATTCACGTGAGCTCCTTTTCCATTTTGATAAATTTTAGGTTTTACGTTTCCGAGTTGTGGGATTTTATTCATTAAAAAAGGGGGATTTTCCAGTTTTCGGACAATAACTCAAAAATGCTTTGAGCAGTTTTCATGAAAATTTGGTGACTATTAAAATAACCTCCCTTTACTCTATTTTATAAATTTCTGATATGACATTGAGGAGTTATGGAACTTAATTCATTGAAAAGGCGACGGGCGTTTCATGTGCTCATGGCGCAGCTCTTTATTCTATATCGGGTTATATGACCGTTGGCAATTTTCGAAGGCCATCTCGATGGATAATTAGATGGCTTCTAGTCTAAAATAAGCACAAAATGCTGATACATTATTACGAGTAAATGATTGTTAATTGTTTCCTTTGGACTTTTTGTAATTTGAATATACGTTTTAGTGTTATTGATCAAATATGAGATTTGCTTGTATGAATGTTAAGTTTCGTGGAAAGGAATTTAAAGTTTAAGAAACTAGGCACCAATTTTTATAGGAAATCATCAATAGAAATCGTCAGCAATTGACCGTAATTTCTACTTGAAAATATGAACAATTTAAAAGCAGATAACGGATTTAAAGTAATGTTTATAATATTGTTTATTTCCATTGTCTTTTAAGGCACTGCTGTGTTGTTGAATCAAGACACTTACAAATATAGCTGTTGTGGTTTTATATACCAGTGGGAGTTCTATACGAGTAGCACAGGAACAATTGAGGCCCAAGTTTGGCGACCAGGTTCTGGAAATATGTATACACTGGTAGGATCGAATACATTGACAGCGACAAGTAAGTATTTGAAAAAAAATAATGTTACCCTCCACTTAACATTTTCTTAAATGAAATTTTTTATGCAACAAATAATGGTAGAATCTAACTACCATGTTAGTCTGTATTAGAAGTCATAGTTAGATAAAATCCGAATTTGACCTGCATCATTTCATTAGATATAATATATACCAAATGGATGATTAAATTTGTCTTGTATATTGTAATCAACGGGATGGTATGAAAGAATCTCTATTCAAATATTACCAATGAATTCAATTTTAGATCAGTTGTACCGGCTGCTGGGCTTGTTTTCATTAAATATTGTATGCCCTTTTTTTGTATTTTAGTCACGGATCCTCTCATGTTACTTTTGGAAATCTCTTGCTCAGCATGTATAATCTGTTTTGCTCAGCAATATTTGCCATTTTCTATTGCATTTATTACTTTATTGCAAAACATGAAACCCTGGCGGGTTAAAATGCAAACATAGTACATTGTATACAAAAGTGACAAGAAACATAATACATGATAAATGTTTTAAACAAGTCAAGTTGATATTAATAATATATATATATATATATATAATAATTGACCAATGTGGACCTTATTTTCGCAATTCCATAGATTGCTTTAAATAGTCTACAACACTAGACAAAATATCAAATTTATTGGTTTACTAAAATAATGATCAGGTTAACATAAACAAATATAAAGATAAAAATAATCGAATTCGCACCAAGTCCAAACGATGTGAAATTTATTGGAAAAAACAAAATTGGCATTTTCTGCTATGCATATAACACCCGTGATGCGATTTCAAATTCCAGAGAAATCAGCAGGATTAGGCAATATATTTTACTTAAAGAAATCCATATAAAGTAATATGCCAATACGTTTGTTTGTTAACCTTATATGATATTTTTAGGTTCCAGACCTTATAAAATGTCAAATATTAAGAAGGTAGTGAAATCGTTTTATTTTGTAGACGCTTGGACCGAGACAATTCAAAGTATTTCTAATGGACAGAGAGTTCGGACGAATGCAAACGACTATGTGGGATTGTAAGTCATTACCCAATAGATTCATTTGAATTTCGGTTAGATTTTGTAACGCTTTACATAACAAGTTGTTAACCTCACGGTTTACAAAAAAAATGATCGTGAAGGAATAAGTAAGGGTGGTAAATGAGAGGCGAAAGATACCAAAGGGACATTCAAACTCATAAGTCGAAAATAAACTGACAACGCCATGGCCAAAAAAGAAAAAGACCAACAGACAAACAGACAAACAACAGTACACAAAACAAAACTTAGAAAACTACAGATTGAGCAACACGAACCCCACCAAAACTGGGGATGATCTCAGGTGCTCCGGAAGGGTAAGCAGATCCTGCTCCACATGTGGCACCCGTCGTGTTGCTCAAGTAAGTACAAACCCGGTGACAAGTCTAATTCGGTAGGTCACATTAGAGGAAAAGGGTACGGGATGGTAGTTACGACAATAGGAACATATTCGTTGTCATCTGTGAAACAGATACTCCACAACGGTCAACGAACTTGTGATGGTGTCCGTAAAATCTACGAAGGGATGATTTCAACTTCACCACTTGGAACTCTTGGTTTAACTTGATAGCTTCCTTGTGAGCAGCAAGCATCTATCAAGGAATCATGATAGGAAATAAAAGCCCTGCAATATCGTATCAACTGGGAGATATATATTCCGTATGCATGCGCTACTGGAAAGTTACTACATAGAAATGGAAGGTTCACCATCGTGAAGGAAATCTTATCGAAAAGACACATGAAAATTAAATAGTTGATCCAATTTATTGAATTATAAGGACAAATTTTGAAAAAAAATAAAATTGTCTGTCAAAATGTTACAACGTTATGATCAGTATCTGAGAAAATCCGATCACCGTTGTAACAAAATTACAAAAGCCAGATTTCTCTTCACCATCTCAATGACATGAAAATGTAATCAAACATGTTTTTTTTTCATTATATGAATGACTAATTAACTATTCTCTGGGCAATGTCGCTCTATATTAATGTTTAAAATGGCTCTTAAAATTATTTTGTAGTGGCTGAATCAGAAAGTGGGGGAAGGTTTTAATATTAATATAAATGTTATAGTTTTGATCGTTAAAGATCGGGTGCCACTATTTGTGTTCATAAAAAGGATAGTGAAAGATCAGTCTGTACTTATACATACATTTATCATTGTAATTTGTACAGTACGGTTTATATTTGTTGGGGAATAAACATGTTTAGACTAAGATGGTTCAATGCCATTTGATCTGTTTTTATAGGATCACGCCGACTAGTCCGGAGGTTTATTTCAATATTAAAACATACGTAGAACTTTTAAGCGATTAAGAGATACTATATTTTTCTACTATTATATAACCATTAGTCAAAACGGTGTTGGAGAAAATATGATTAAACAATAGATCAACAACTTACTTCAGCAAAGTTCTCATCTGTTAATAAAATCTTTAATAAAACAGTGTACATTTGTGTGTTGTAGACATTCCACAGGCAGTTTCATCATCACTCATAAAAACGAAGGAAACAATAAAAATAGGTTGAAACTAACAGGCGAAACATCATCTATGCCATCATCGAAAGACTGGTCAGGTGCGAATGACGAAGATGAAAAATATGCTATATACTCATACGTTGAAGCAAGTAAGTCTATACCAAATTTTATATACCACAAATGTCAGAACAGCTTAGACGATGATATTGCATATTATCTTACCTCCTATACATTTCTAGGAATATGATTGGTTAAAAGCGTCCGCGTGGAGGCCGTGTATATTCCATATTAGGTTAGTAGGGAGGCGGGGCTTATTTCATACACGGTTAGTAGTCATACACGGTTAGTAGTGGTGTTACGTCCCTTTATAAAAACAAAACGGTACTGAGAAAAAATCTAAAAGGTTTCAACAGACGAAGAAATTGATGATGAAGATTGAAATAAATTCATAAAACACATTTAAACCTAACAAGTTGTTATTGTTGGCATCTGTTTTTGTAGGATCAATGGAAGTAGTTTCTTAATGCTAACGGTATTGAAAACTTGCTGATTTCGATAAGTCACTAGTCTAAATTTCACACGTTAAGATAGTCGGTAAGATAAATTCGTTACATAGTATGCTAGTGACGTAATACGGTATATATCACACTATGTAACTAATAATGTGCTAAATACCTATTTGATTACCTTTATCGTGATTGTTATATACATGTACTATTGTCAACAATAGTCTTAAGCACGAGAAGGTCGATCTTTTAAATGCATTAAAAGGAGTAGAGCAAAACCAAAGCACAGCAATAGTCATTGGTATATATGTAAGCGAGTCAAAGTTTTTTCTTAGATTAAACTTTGCCTCCAAAGTAACGCTAGAAAATGTGTAACTTCAACCACTAATAAAGACGCAAGTGTATTTGGTTATGATTACAACTTTTTTATTCCGTTATTCAAAAAGGAAGATTTTTCTTTCGTTAAAAAGGCAAGGACCAATGTGTAAAAAAAACTATTGTTGTTAACAAGCTATGTGATTAAAGGGATCGTGTATTATTTCTTTTAGCCAGACAATTTTTGTACGTACAAAATCTAAAGTTTAACCAAACACTATCTCAAACTTATTTCTCCTAGGTCTAGGATTAAATATCTATTGTTGGACATGAAAGTAATGACACAAAAAGTTTAACATTCTAAATAAAATGCCAATTGAAATATCAAAATCAAAAAGTTTCAAGAATAAATTAACTTAAACAGGAAAAAATAAAGGTTTTACTATGTCAACATCTGTGCATACCAGAAGGAAACTTTTGAATAAAAAAACAATTATTGTACAATGATATATACGGAAGCCGATAAGGGTCATTAAAAAAAATTAATTTATGTCTTAATTACGACATAGTATGTCGTAATAACGACATCGCTATGTCGTAATAACGACATATTATGTGGAAATAACGACATCGCTATGTCGTAATAACGACATATTATGTGAAAATAACGACATCACTATGTCGTAATAACGACATATTATGTGGAAATAACGACATCCTTATGTCGTAATAACGACATAATAACGACATAAGGATGTCGTTATAACGACATCTATATCGTAATTACGACATCGCTATATCATCTATAACGACAACCTTAGAATTGCTACTTTGTGATCATCGACACACTATGGGAAACAACATTTGCATCTTTATTTTAAGAACCATTTATCAGAATTGAATCAAACTTGATATACGTGTGCACTATAAGGTCCTATTCAAGTGTTGCTTCTTAGTTACCCATTGGTTAAAACACATGACCGCCAAGGGACTTTGAAAAAATCAATGTTCAAAATCTTCTTCTCAAGATCGATGAAATGACTGATTTTAAACTTAGTATAAATATACAATGTGTACCTAGTATCCAGGTCCTTAAAAAGAGTTTTTACGTTTTGAGCTGATCCGAAGTTAAAAATGGCCACCAGTGAGGGCAAAATTTGTATCAAAACCCTATCGTAAACATATTCATTTTTGAGAATGATAACCACTGAATTTAATCAAGCTTAATTAATATTAAAGTTAGTTACTCCATATGTCTGCACATAACAGAACCTTATTTCATGATCAAGTCTAATGGGACCCATTGAAATGGCGAACGATTCCTTGAAGCCTCTATTTATATTTTATAAGATGTGTTTAGTACCCGAAGAATGTGTGCTATTGCAATCGCTTGTCGTCCGTCGTCGTCTGTAGTTACCGTTAAACTTTTATTAAAGATTACAAAAATCACAAAATGTTGATAAAAGTTTAGCCGCCGTCGCCGAAAAATCAATTCCTTTGTTTTGTTATTTTTGACGTTCATCGCAGGCGAGGCAAAAATCCGTTATTTCGCTATGTGGTCTTTTTTTATAGTATTGTGGAAATAATTGCATAAAGTTCGAGATTGCATGTGAGTTACGTAAGCGCGTAACTGTTTTTTATATCCTGTGGTGTTTGTCGTTGATGAAATATGTTCGTTGTTGTTCTGCAGTTTACATGGTTTGTGATTATTACTACACTGTAGTATATTATTTGTTTGGGCGTTTTTCTGTGATGAATGTTCTTGCGTGTGTTTGATCTGTATTTCTGTTACGTAGTGTTATCATTTCCGCGACATTTTTAACATTGTCATAAAGCGGGAGGTTTGGCTAGCCATTAAACCAAGTTCAACCCATCATTTGTTCTTAAAATGTCCTGTACCAATTCAGGAATATGACAGTTGTTATCAAATAGTTCGTTCTAAGTATGTTAAGGGTTTATTTTTGTTCACCTTAGTGTTCTTGTTGTTCGTTTTTTTTCCTCTTACAGTTGATATGTTTCCCTCCGTTTTAGTTTGTAACCCGGATTTGTTTTCTTTCAATCGATTTATGACCTTTGAACACCGGTATGCTACTGTTGCCTTTATTTAGTAACAGTGTCCATGCTGTTGGTTGCCGGTCAAAATCGACGGACTTCAAGTGATGACAATACATGTAGCTATCCCAAAAAATGTTTTAGAGGACACAACTCAGGTATGGGTCAAACTGATCTTTCTGAAATTTTCGGCATAGGTCCATTTTGTCATGATGAACCCTCTACAGATTTGAGATAAATGTAACGATATTCGAGATATTATCAAAAAACTAATGTGTGACCATTATGTCCTATTTTTTCAAGTTAATAACAGCGGCGGTGTTTTTAAGGAGTCGAAAATCAAAGCACGCCTTTTGTGAAGGAAACATTTAACAAGGAAAAATCAAACTAACTTTTAAAGAATTTTGCACATTAGTTTCAAAGGAGATTTTTAAAACACGCTTTCGACAGACGACGACCGACAACAAACGATGGCAATCGCTCGCATACCACTTCGACTACGAGACACAACTTCCTTAAGTGATAGGTGAAGGTCAGGGGATCCATTAGGCTCGATTATTAGGGGTCCAAAGTTTAACATAGGCCCCAATGGAAAAAGCTTTGAAAATCTTCTCCTTAAGAACTACCAGGCCATATTGGATCAATCTTAGAGAATGGATGGTCCTTATATATATATATGATGAGGATTAAATAGAAAAAAAGAAGATGTGGTATGATTGCCACAGAAATTAACAACTATAGGTCACCGTACAGCTTTCAACAATGAGCAAAGCCCATACCACATAGTCATCTATAAAAGGCTCCGAAATAACAAATGTAAAACAGTTCAAACGAGAAAACTAACGGCCTAATTTATGTACAAAAAATAAACGAAAAACAAATATGTAACACATCAACAAGCAACAACCACTGAATTACAGGCTCCTGACTTGGGACAGGCACATACATACAGAATGTGGCGGGGTTAAACATGTTAACGGGATCCTAACCCTCTCCCTAAGTTTGTAGGAATAGTTGTCCTATGGAACATTGGTTTAAAGAACTTTGGGTCCAAAGTTTAATACAGGCTTCAATAGAGAGTACGCTGTAAGAATCTCATTAAGAACTAACAGTAGCAATGCAGTTATAATTTGCATCAAGCATCAGTAGGCCATTAAGATGCAATTGTGTACAAATGAAGGTACATAGGTCCATGGGTCTGAGCACTAGGAGTCCAAAGTTTAACATAGTCTTTATTTTGAAAAGCTTAAAATTCATCTTCTTTAGAATCTGCAATGGAAATGCAGTCATATTTTACACGAATCTGTACATGCCAAACATAACTAGAGGCTCCAAGGAGCCTGAATCGCTCCCCTGTTCAACTGGGTCTCATTTGACTTGATTACAAAATAAAGTTCTAGTATGTGCAAGTAAATAACTTTAATTAAGCTTGATTGAATTTAGTGTTCATTATTCTCCAAAAAAGATGAATTTGTTTACGCTACAAACTTTTCCCTCACTGACAACCATTTTGAATTTTCTATCTTAAAAAGTGACAACGCTAAGGTTGTCGTAATTATGACATAGCAATCAGGAGCCTGTAATTCAGTGGTTGTCGTTTGTTGCTGTGTTACATATTTGTTTTTTGTTCACATTTTTTGTACATAATAAAGCCGTCAGTTTTCGCGTTTGAAATAAATTGTTTAACATTTGTTATTTCGGGGCCTTTTATAGCTTACTATGCGGGGGCTTTGCTCATAATTGAAGGCATTATGATGACCTATAGTTGTTAATTTCTGTGTCATTTAGTCTCTTGGCAATCATAATACATACTCTTTGTTTATATATATAGCGATGTCGTTATAACGACATAAGGATGTTGTTATTACGACATAGCGATGTCGTTATTACGACATAGTGATGTCGTTATTACGACATGTTATGTCGAAATTACGACATAGTTATGTCGTTATTACGACATAGCGTCGTAATTACGACATAAATTTTTTTTTTTCGAATTACCCTTATCGGCTTCCGTAATTTGTCACGCAGCCAATAAGTGTTTTTTTCGAGAAATACTGTAAATATATCGATATCAAAAAAGCACTACTGCTTTCAGTAACTTCACAATCTTTCATATATGTCTTAGTTATCATATGAAATTTTTTTAATGTAGCTATTTCGGTTGTAGTACTGATATAACCAAATAAAGAGCTCAAATTGAGATAGGATATTTATTATGCGTTTTTCATTTATCTTTGCATTCTTTTCTAACCAAGACA